CGCTCCCGAAAGAAGCAGCCCGGCAGCGATGGGGAGAAAGCCCAGGCGAGGTGCAAAGCCTGCCGCCCAGCAGCTACCGGGATGGGCGAGTGACCGGCTTTATTGCCAGCGGAAGGCGCGCTTGTAACGCGGGGACAGCTGGAGGTTGCACCGCGTATATAGGCACACGCATATACATGCTCCTGTCTCAAAACATGCGGCGAGCTGTAAAGCACAGTGTCTTGCCGGAAAAAAAAAAAAATATATATATATGTGTATATAAAAATTACTTTCCCCATCCCTGCGAAGGCAACTTGCATGGAGTTACATCTCCCCAGGAGCAAAAGCTATTCAAAAGGAGCCTTCTGCCCATCCATCGCTCTTTCCCTAACCAGGGACAAAGTGTCTGTGTCACTGTTTGGGGACTTTCAGTATTGCAAGCCTGCAGTCCCCCCTTCTCCATCCCGGACCCACAGGGCAGCCCTGGGGCCAACCGACACTTCACCTGCAAGAGTTGCGGTGATCCGTCACTGCTTTTTGCACTTTGCAGAGCAATATCACTCAACCTGAAAAAGAGAAATCTCCAAATGCCAGGACTGAAGTCGCTCCCCAGGAGATGGGCCCATTATCCAGCCTCTCACCGGGCCTTACAGCCAGCATAAATACACCTCTCACAAAACTGGTCACTGCTAAAGAAGTAAAGTGGGCTCCCAGCATGTTTCAAAATCCACAAGTCTAAAATGGAATTACTCTGTATCTAGAGTACCCCATTAAAGCTCCTATGCAGTATTGCTTGCCTTTATCTCCAATTTCCCTAATCCTTTTTTTTTTTTTTTAAAAAAAAAAAAAAACAACAAACAAACAAACAAAAAAAACAAACAAAAAAAAAAAAACGTGAATAATTCCAAGTGGGGTTAGAAAACCATACACCTGGAAACACAGTAATTGTCTTAAATGGCACAGTTTTTCTCAACGCACACCTTCCTGATCTGTAACAATTTCCTCATCTGCTTTAGCACCAGACAGCCATCTAACTTGAAAAGATGCCACACATACACAATAGTAAAAAAATTGGTGTTCTACAGCTGAAAGCAGATACTGCAGAATGCACTTTCCTCCATGGAAATGTTGAGGAATTTTTAAAAATATATTTAGGATAATAAAGCAAAGTGTAATGGAGCAAGCTGCGAAAGCAGACCCTGGTTCATGCTAAACACAAGGTTATTTTGGTACAGCAAAAGAGTTTTGTCCTCTTATCATAAATCTGGTGAAAGTATGAGCAACCACACGCAGAATTTGTTCACACCTTTTCCCAGGTCTTTCTCCCCAAAGCTAAACCAGAGGTCGCTTCACGGAATGTAACTGAAGTGTGGCAGGTTTTGGCGAGTGCGTACTCACAACCATTGGTACTGAAAGATTTGTTGGACTGCAGCAAGTATCCCTACCCTGCCGCCTTTACAGCTGTGAAGGTGTTGATGGCTGGATTAGCCGTCACATCCACAAATAAAGTGTTTGAGATTTCATTTCTTGCTTTCTACTTTCACATTCCTAGACTGGAAGCGAACGAGAAGCCAACACCCTTTGATGGCTGTTTAGTCTCGGCAGGCCCAGGCCGCGAGTATTGGGAAAGGCACTACGGCAGGCAGAAATGAAGTGGTATTTAAAATCGCTTCAGCTGCACACATCTCCCATCACTGGTCTATTGAAAATTTAAACTGGAAAATGACAATGAAAAGCCGGAATAATGGGAAAAGCAGGACACGAAATTCGATAGACGTTGCTGCAAGCTTGAAGGGGAGAGACTTAAAAGGTCAGAGAGCAAACGGGAATCGCCACAATCATCTGAAGGCAGTTGGAAGGTAAGTTGATGGACACCGGTTTGACCTGCGGGTCAGCAAACTAGTTTAACTCTACCTTGATCTGCACAACGCAGAGACAAGTTCCCGGCTCCTATCAAACAACTCAATGCCCTTATCTGGAAGGGTTTAGTAAAAGTAAATCAACTACAAAAAGGAGCTATTCAGTCTTCAAGTGCTGGGTTTTGCTGGTAAAAGAAAGAAAAAAAATATGTGTGTTCTCACACAGCCCGGATCCAAACTGGGAGCTCGCGAGCGGCAGAAGCACACGCTCCTGCCCAGGGGAAGGATGAGTTTTGTCACTGGCTCTATCCTGAGACAGAGCAACCAGTGCCCAGACAAACCATCAAGCCCCTGGATAGCGTCATTCTGGTAGCGCTTTTTTTTCAGGGGGGGATATCAGAGAAGCAGTATTAGAAGTTACCCACTGCTGCATTTTCCTTTCCTTTACACTTGGTGCTCAGCCCATTCCATCAGGACTGAAACCTCCAGGTAGCATAAACGCTGCCTCTTGCTCCCACCAGGGAAACCAGGTGCTGCTACACCACTCCATTTACTTGGTGTTAAAAAAAAAAAAAAAAAAAAAAAAAAAAAAAAAAAGGGAGAGAAAAAAAAGAGGGGGTGGAAAAGTGCAGAACAAACTGTTGCTTTGATTCAGCAGGAAACTTTGCAGGCCTCTGATGGGTGCATTTGTAATGAAGCAAAATCAGAATGCAGCTCAGAGAAACTCAACCAGAACAACTCCCATTTCCAGTGCACGTTAAAAGACCCTTCAATCCCTACACCATGCAGAGAACCAAAATCTTGAATGCATCTGGAGCTGACTTGTCTGCACTTTTTAGCTCTGCATTTTAATACCTGCTGTTTAGGTTATTACTAATAATGTGCTTTACATGTACGCACAAAATCTGCTATGTAGATTCCATGCTCTAGCCCTGATTTTTCAGTACCCCAACAGTGAGCATTGCCTCCCTACGTAACCCAAGAGGCCAGATTTCCAAACACAACAACCCTTCCCCCCATCCCCCCCAAAATCAAAGTGTTAAGAGAAAGTGTTAGTAAACGCTAAGCAAATGCCATAACTGCAAAACACGCCAGGCTCTAAGAAACCCTCGCAATAGTGTTTTTCTTGTTCAGGGACAGTCGTGCACGAGATTTAAAGGACACAGCAGGGCGGTGGCGCTGGGCCGGCCGGCTGGCAGCACCCCGCAGCCCTTGGAATCGCCCAGATCCCCGGTCCTGCGGGGAAAATGCCACGGACGAGAAGGGATTTTTCACTCACAACCGCGAAGTTTCCCACCCCGGAGACCTGCAGAAGTTAGCGCTTGCTACGGCAGTTAGCATCGCTCCCAGCCACAAACACCTTCCCTAAAAATAAAACCGGCCGGGGGGGGGGACACGACCACTTTTTGTCTTTTAAAGCAGTAATGATCCTTAGCATTTCATTATTAAACTGCCTTTCAAAATGGATTTGGCGCAATGTGAAAAATAAAGTCCAAGGGGGGAGGTGTATACAAAGCAGCCCCTCGTACACAGTCAGGTTTGTGAGAGGCACCATATCGTTAGTTTCATAAAAATAATTTTAAAAATAAATAAAAAATAATAATAATAAAAAAAAAGCTAATGTCTTTCTTTCACTTTCCCCTACAAGTGCATTATAAAAAGCACGAAGCACAATGCCAACTTACTCGTTTTAATGCCTCAAAGCTGCTCTCATTAGGTGCTACAATTTAAAACGGGATTGAATTCGTTGTATTTTCACTTTTCTCTGAAACTCTAGAGAACAACTCACACCATCTGAGTTCAGAGTAAATCATTGCTTGTAACGATGGAATTAAAAAGAATAAAAACAATTGGCTGACCTAAGGTAGAATGTTTTATCTGGAGTTTATTAATACCATTTAAAATATTACAGATAAAAATCAATTACATTTCATGCATTTAAAATGCAAATCTAAAATGTTCCAGCGAAGGGCTTTCCATTTCAATGTGAAATATCCAAATTATTTCAACATTACAATGAGACAAATAGTTTGCAGCATTGCAAACCGCTAATGTAGTGTCAGGAGTGTTTATTAACATTTATCAATATTATTTTCAGGAAATACACATAGGCCAACGTTAGTTCAGTTTCACTTGGACAGTTTATTTAATACATGGGTTGTGGCAAACCCACTTTATGAAATATAGGAGAACTCTCACTGTAACTATACCTGAACTGCCAGCAAATGCAAATAAGTACATGCTCCATTAAAATGTCATTCAACATTTATCAAATATTGTTTGCTTAATTACAGTTGTATGCCTATCTAAATTAATATTCAAGCAAAACCTATATCCTGAAGTGCGATTTGATGTACACTTCAAGGAACGAGTCCAGAAAAAGAATGCAGTGAACCAGGACTGCAACAATAACGCTTTCTCATGACAGGAAAAGAAATATTTTTTTTTTTTTAAAAAAAAAAAAAAAAAAGCTCAAGTGTACTTCAATATATTTTCAAATATTTACTGGAAGTAATTTACAAGAAAAATACTATACAAAATCGTCTCCTGGACAACTGCACCTCACACCGATACATTGGTGGAGTTATATTTAATTGTTAGCTAATCTAGAACGATTCCCCAGTTGTACAAACCTATAGGTTCAGACGTATTTTACAAATATTTTATTTTCCTATCCCCCCCTCCCCCGGCCTCCCTTTTTGGCATTGGAACTACAGCTTCGCTTGAAACCCACGGTGCTTCTTCATTTGTTTGGAGTTAAAAAATATACGACTTTCAACCTAATTATTTTCAGCGTATTTCACGATTCCTACTCAAAAGGGGAATTATACAAATGCGCTGGCAAACAGAATGAAATTTGGACTCGGGGAGGTAAACGGTTTGTGAAAATTAATTAAAAAAAAAGAAAAAAAAAAAGAAAAAAAAAAAAAAAAAAAAAAAGGCTGGGGGTGAGGGCGGGGAGAAGGGGAAGCACCCTGCCGCTCCGGTCCTGGGGAGCACAGGGGCTTGGAGCAGTTAAGGAGGTGAGGGCAGTTCTGAGTCCCAGCTCGGCGCTGTCTGGGGACAAGGACGGCGGCCGCTGCCGTCGGAGCCCCCCCCGCGGGGCAGCCCCGGCCCGCCCGCCGCTCCCGGGTGGGGTGCGGGCCGGCTTCCAGCGGGAAGGCGAGAGGGAACGGGGGGGGGGTGGGGTGGGGGTGTTTTCCGCTCTGAAGGCAACCCGAGGAGGAGGGGAGGGAGGGAGGGAGGGAAGGAGGGAAGGAGGGGGGCTCCGCGGGGAGGGGAGGCGGCCGCGGGGCTGCCCCACGGGGAGCCGCGGCTCTCGCCCCTTCGCCGCGCCGCTCCCCGGCCCCCGTCGGGGGGCTCCGGGCGGGCAGCGGGGCGGGCGCGGAGGCTGAGCGCGGTCCCTGCGCCGCCGCGCACGGCTACTTACGTGTTCGCGTCCCCGCCGCGGGGCTGCGCGGGGGGCGGCGAGGCGGGAAGGGGAGTGGAGGGGGTGGGGGGGGGAGAGGGGGGGGGAACGGTGGGGGGTACCCCGCGCCTCCGCCCGTCACTCCAGGCCGTTGCGGTGGCCGGGCTCGGGGGGCGGCAGCAGCTCCGGCGAGTGGCAGGGCGGGCTGCCGGCCGCGCTGTGCTCGCTGTCGGTGTCGCTGCCCTTCTTGCCGCCGGGGCCGGGGCCGCCGCCGGGGCCGCCGCCGCCGGGGCCGCCCGCGCCTCCGGGGCCGCTGTGGGTCTTGACGTGCTTGCTGAGGTGGTCGCTGCGCATGAAGCGCTTGTTGCAGACGGGGCAGGCGAAGCGCTTCTCGCCCGTGTGGGTCCGCAGGTGCCGCTGCAGCTCGTCGGAGCGGGTGAAGCGCTTGCCGCAGAAGAGCCAGTTGCAGACGAAGGGCCGCTCGCCCGTGTGCCAGCGCAGGTGCGCCTTCAGGTGCGAGGTCTTGCCGTAGACCTTGCCGCAGCCGGGGATGTGGCAGCTGTGCAGCCCCTTGCGCCGCAGGCTGGCCCCCGCCGGCCCCAGCCGCTCGGCCTCCTGGCAGTTGGGGCAGTCGCAGGTGGCGCGGCCCGAGTAGCGGCGGGCGGAGGAGCGCGGCGAGGCGGCCAGCGGCGCGGCGGGGCCGCCGCCCAGCATGGAGCCCCCGGCGCCGGCCAGCGGCGAGGGGGCCGAGTCCGGGTAGGAGCCGGGCAGCACGGGTTTAAATCCGTCCATGAGGTGCTGCCCGGCGGGGCTGAGGAGGTGCGAGGAGGCGCCGCTGCTGAAGGCCGAGTGGCCCAGGCCCGAGTAATCCGAGTTGTAGCCGCCCAGCGGCGAGTGGAGCGAGGTCTGGAGCCCGCCGGCCGCCGGGTGCAGCGAGCCGGGCAGCGCGGCCGCCCCGTTGGGGCTCTGCACGTCGATCCAGCCGGCCCCGACGTCCCACCAGCTGGAGGCGCCCGCCGAGCCCACCTCGCCGGCGCCCAGCCCCGGGTGCGACGGCTTGAACCAGGACTCGTAGGGGTGCGCCATGCCCACCCGCGGGTAGATGCCCTGCAGCCCCTCCACCGACGTGTGCACCTTGGAGATGAAGACGGGCTGGTGCGCCGCCGCCTCCTGGCCCGCCGCCCCGCCGCCGCCGCCGCCCCCGCCGCCGCCGCCGCCGCCGCCGCCGGCGCTGCCCGGCGCCTGGAAGACGGAGTAGTCGTTGGCGAAGGGCGAGCTGGCGGCCGCCGCGCTGCTGGAGGTGAGGGAGAAGGCGCTGGAGCCCGGCGAGCCGCCGCAGCTGAACGAGTCCGAGACGAGCGCAGCCGCCGCCGCCGCCGCCGCCGCCGCCGCCGCCGCCGCCGAGGAGCCGTTGCGCGCCGCGCCCGCCACGCCGAAGCCCGGGAGGCCGGAGCCCACGGCACCGCAGCTGCCCGCCGAGGACGAGGAGGAGGAGGAGGAGCGTTTCCAGGGGTGGAAGCCTTTCCCGAAGGAGGACGCGCTGTCCGAGAGGGCGGACGGCGAGGGGCTGGGGCTGCCGATCTTGTTGCAGGTCGCGGCGAGCATGGCCAGCGGCGTGGAGCCTACCCGCGGTTCCTCCTGCGGGCAGAGAGGGGAGAGGGCCGCCCCGCCGGCGTCAGGGACGGAGCGGACCCGCCGCCGCCTCCCCGCGCCCCGCTCCCGGCCCGGCCCCGCTCCGCTCCGCTCCGCGCCGCTCCGCCGCCCGGCCCCGCTCCGCTCCGCGCCGCTCCGCCGCCCGGCCCCGCTCCGCGCCGCGCCGCTCCGCCGCCCGGCCCCTGGTCGCAAAGTTTCGCGACTCCCGCGGGAGGATCCCTTCGCCGGGAGCCGGCACCGCGGCTCTGCCACCAAGCGCCATCCGGCGCCACCATCCAACCCTCCTCCCACGGAGGAGCTCGGGAAAGGTTAACGAGAGGAGAAAAAAAGAGAGGGGGGGGGGGGGGAAAAGTTGCGTTTGTCACCGTAGCTTTAAAGATGCCCCTGCCACGGCGGCAGCTACGTTTCAGCCTGTTCCTTTTCCCTGGGACCTGGCCGGTCCCCGTCCCTCAGGCCGGTAAGACTGTTTTCTTACATATAAAATTGCAGGATTATCAAATTACTCCTTAAAAAAAAAAAAAAAAAAAAGCAAAAAAAAAAAAAAGCTTCCTTAAAATAAGCCTCATTTACGTACCAAGGATAATTAAATATAAATTTAACATACGTACATATGTATGTATACACAAGTTCAACGTACCTGCTGGACACGGCGTGCTGTGTTATTTTAAAGGGAGAAAAAAAAAAAAAAAAAACACAATCTGTTCCAAATTAGAAATTGCACACAAAAAACGATAGTGCTGGGTTTGGGTTGTTTTGGTTTTTTTCCTTCCAGCAGTCACATGTAAAGAAGAAAGGCCACTTCTCCGGGGGCACGGGAACAGCACAGCCCAGGCGCTGTAGGTTGTTTCTACAAATGCCCTTAAAACCTTTTCCTGCTCACTGAAAAGTGACTCTGCCCCCTTTTCCCCCTCTCCCTCTTTCTTTTCTCCTAAACTCACTTGTACTTAAGTTTAAAAAAAAAAAAAAAAAAAAAAAAAAAAAAGAGGCTGAATAGAGGAGACTGATAGCCCCGGTCAAGACAGGGGTTATTTTAACCCCCTCCAATCGACAATAAAAAGAAACCAATTAAACCAGCAAGAGAAAAAATCCTTAGACTCACCCCTAGAAGTGAAGTTGCCATCACACAAAAGTGCCCTCCTCTCAGAGGATCTTTTTTATATTGATAAATCAGAGGCAGTGTTTTTTTTAGAGGTGTGCAATACAATGATCAGTTCCGCCCATTCCACCACAATTGTAGCTCCCTCGCCGGCTTTGAAGTGCCGCTGAGCCGCCGCCAGCCAATCACCGGCCCCGCCGCCTCGCTCGACGACGTGACTGCGTGAGGTCATCAGCCCCGGCGGCGGGGCTCGACGGCGCTGATGACCTCACGCAGTCACGTCGTCGAACGGTGCGGGCCACGGTGCCGGTGCCGGCCCGCGGGGGCCCCTCGCCCCGGCTTCGGGCTGCTTCGTCCCGGCCACTCTTTATCCATTCACCCACGGCCCCCTGTGCGCATAATCTGACAACAGGTTCTTTTTTTGAGCGGTTTACATTCGTTTGGGTTTTTAGATCATCATCATCATCACCTCCTCAGCGTTACTGTTATTATTATCGCAACGGCGGGCGAGGGCGGGAGCATCCCATTTCTCCGCGGGGTCCCCTCACCCCGCTCCCCTCTGCTCAGTCCTCCCTCTCCCATTTATTTCGCTACTTGTCGCGGGGGGGGGGGGGGGGGGGGGAGGGCGAGCGGTGGGGAGGAGTAGGGGAACACTTCAGGCGACGCAAATCCGCCGTTTCAGGCGTGATTCTTGGCGGCGGGGTGGCCCAAGCCGCCCCCAGGAGCGGTGCCCCGGAGCTTTGCAGAGCGCGCCCCCGGCGGAGCCCACTCCCGGGACACGGCAGAGCCGGGGCGGGCTGCCGGCGGGCCCCGCCGCCCCGTCCCGGAGCAGCCGGGGCTCGGAGGTGCTCGCTCCGCTCCCCTCGGCCCCTCGCCCAGCGCCGGGGGGGGCTGCGGGGAAGGGCAAGAGGCAGCGCAGGGTGGCCCCGGGGTGGGGGGCGGGAGTAAGGGGGGGGGGAGGGAGGGGGGGGGGAGCCGCCCGCTGGGGCCACCCCGGCCCCGCTCCCCCAGGTGCTCCCTCACTCCCGCGGGTTTTGTCCTCACGGAGCTTTGCTTCGTGGGGGCTGTTTTTCTCCATCTCTCGGCCTCGGGTTTGACCCGTTTCCGTGCCGTGGGGATATTGACTGTACATCATATCTATTGATCAAGGGGGTAACGTACATTATCATACTTCGAAGTAAGAGTGAAGTAAATTAATGAACTGCTTTCTTTCTCTGAAGGCTGACGGTTACCATAAATGTCGCGTTTCTCTCCGCGAGCTGCTCTGAATGATTTTAGCCTGTTGAGAAGGCGTGACAGGCCAGCCCAGAAGGAGGAAGGGGTGGGGGAAGGAGGGAACTCCGTTTAACAAATAAAAAAGAATTAACTTCATTGCTTTGGTCTCCTTCTATAATGATATTCATTTTACAGACCTAACGCACACTTGTTTAAATTTCGGGTTTAATTTAATCAATACTATCACCCGCGAAGAGGGGAAGAACATTTCCCAGAGATACACCCTTGTATGAATGCTTATTAACTTTTTATCTCTACTTCCTTTATCTGCTGGAGGTGGGGAGGAACTATTAAGACACAGATTAGAAGGCGTAAGAGCAAAACAAGCATCGCGAGCATTATATTTTAGAGGAACAGAAAATCGCATTTTGTGGTGTGCCAGGTTAGGTAAAAAGATCGACACGCATTCCTTTCAGCCCCAGAAAGTCTGAGACACTTTGCCATCCACCGGGGAAGGAGAAGGCGTTAGTGATGTATCTCTTTTTAGGAGAGCCTCGCCGGGTGGGTCTTCCATTCGCATCCGTATTTTGTCTGCACTTGTCTGCCCAGACGAAACATGTCCTTTCTTGATCTTTTGTAGGTTGGTTTGTTCCGATGCTTGCCCTAACTCTTTCGATTTCGGGCCGAAAGTCCTTAATTTTCAGTGAGCTTTTCCTTTAAAAGCACCGTGTTGGAAATTATGAAAAATTCATTGTAAAAATAGTCGTGGGAGTCTTTACAAGGGAACTCAACAGAGAGGGAGGAAAAAAAGGCAAATACATCAGAACCGAATAGAAATCACAAAACTCCTGTCAGTGACATCCTCCTGCTACTCTGATAATTTCCCTGAAACTGGAAAAGCAGCAGCTTCTGAACTTTGAGAGTGGTGAGCTGATCTTTTCTGAATTCGCCACGGAAACATCTGTAACCTTCCCCCTTTGTATACATTGCCTGCTGGGCAAAGGATTTAAGGAAGCTTACAATTTTGTTTGCATTTGCGTTATTGACCACTGCACTTAAGGGTGCAGTACATCAACATAATATGCAGGTGGGGGCGGGGGGTGGGGGGGAGCCAGCAAGGAGAGGTTTTCCCGAAATTAATTAAAACTTTTTTTTTTTTTTCCCCATTTGAAGTTTAATGTACGAGAGTAGATAAATGTTCGTGCTGTTTCTTGAAAACCTGTGGGATCCACTCTCAATAAAGCTAAAATCTATTAGCATTCTGTATGCATCTGCAGCATAAATTTCATTTGAATTTCAAATTTAATAAACCAGGAGGTTTTTAATCATCCCTGGTTTTATTTGTTTGATATTAACATGCTTATTGACCGGGTCTGTTGACCAGTTTGATCATTACAGGACAGCAAAAAGTTAATTAAAACGACCACAGCTCCTTAATCATATCATCTGTCTCATCCATGTCGCTCCCTTTATTACAGGCTATGATGGATAGTCTCCCAGATTAATTTCTCTGTTTCTTCGATTTGGACAACAGCTTTTGGGACCTAATTTACATCCTGGGAACAACTTGCTCAAGTCTACCTAACATCTTGTGCCTACAATATACATTAGCAATCTCGGAACTTTAGCCACAAGGATAGCTGTCGCTAACCTTGCCGGGTGTGTTGGGGGGGGGGGTGATTTTTCCTCGAAGAAAACCCCGACCCTCCGCTCTGAGGCCGCCGAGCAGACAGAAAGGTGGATAGACCGCAGTACCGGGGGTCTGCCTGCAGACACCAACACCGGGGTGTAAGGGGAAGGGGGTGGGGGGATTTGCCTTTGGGGAAACAGAGGTCTGTGTTATTTGAAAGGGCATATCTGGAAAGATTAAACTGACTGCAGACCACGCCGTATGTCGCATGTCAGTAGGAGCGAGGAAGCGCGTTCCACGCCACCCTTGCGCCCATTTACGGGCACCCACGTTAGAGCCTGGCCCACCTCCTGCCTGCCCGGCCCCACGGCTCCTCTCCGCCGCCTCGCCGGCGTCCCCCGAGCCTTTCTTTTGCTCCTTTACACCCAGCGGCTCCCAGCTCCGCTCCCGTGGTCTGCCACGGGGAAAAGCCCCGGGACGGGGGCCTTGCCCTCGCCCTCCCGGGGCACTGGGAGCCGCTCGTTCCCCCCCCCCCCGGGTTTGCCCCGCCGCGCCGCACCCGCTGCCCCTGGGGAGGTGGGGGCCGGGAGGGAGGTGTCCCCTCCACCCGCCACCTTCACCGGGAAGCAGATGTCACCTGGAAGATTTACCGAGGGGTGACAACCAACTCTCCAGGCGCAAGGAGGGCTCGGCTTGGACGGGGAGAGGAAAAAGGGGAATAGCACGGGAATGAAACAAAACAGCCATCAGCCAGAAAGGACGGTGCGGGTGCCTGGCGGCTGCTGAGCACAAGGGGTGATTAATGTCGTTCTTTAACCTCCACTCGCACCGCTGCGCTGCTGTGGGTTACCTGGGACGTTGCTCCCACTGCCTGGCTGGGTAGTTTCGCAGCCGCGCAGCCGGTGCAGCGCGGCGGCAGCGCGGGTGCCCGCGCCTATTGCTATCTAGGTTACCGGCGGTATTTCCTCCATCAGTTGCAAACGTCTCTGTTCCAGGTACCTGCTAACCCAGCCGGGCTCTCCGTCCCGCTGCCTGCCCCGTGTTTCCCAGCCCGGCCGCGGCGCAGCGCGCAGAGTTGCGCGGCCTGGCTGCTCCCCCGCACGGGCAGCGGGAAGATGCCCGGTAGATCCCGGCATCTTTGGCCAGGGCACACGCCGACCTGCCTACTCGCAGCCGGCGGAGGGGATTCACATCGACGTCTTTCGGCATTTATTTATTTATTTATTTATTCGTCTGGGCCTGTGTAAAAAAAAAAAAAAAAAAAAAAAAAAAGGCAAGAAAGCTGGCTGCGCCTCTGAAAGGTCCCTGTAATTAGATTAGCCCGGGAAGACGCCGTGCACATGCTGGTGTGTGCGTGCCTGGGGAGGGAGAGGAAGAGGCACCTTCGCACCCACTCTGTTTACATTGCCGGTGTGCGCCCAGATCCGATCCGCATCTCCTCCTTCTTCTCCCCGTTTTTCCCTGTCGTTCCCCCCCCCCCCACCCCCCCGTATGTTATCGCTGTGCACGCATCGGCGGCTCCTGGGCGGTCATGTAAGTACCGGGAGGTGCGGGAGGGGAGGGCGAGCTCCCGGCCGGGCGGGGCGGAGCGCGGAGCCCCCGCCGCCGGCCGCGGAGCCGGGCGCTTCGGTCCTTCCTAGAATAGATTTGTTTAAGCTGCTTTCTGTTTTTTCCTATTATACATCACTTTCTCCCAGGCACCACTTACAGTTAAAAACTACTAAATTCTTCCCCTCAGCGGTATTGATTTCTTTTCATTCTGCTCCGTTAGGAGAGGAGGCAATGCTTCCAGATTACCCCGCGTCTCCTCCAGACGGTTGACAATTGCAATCGCAGTTTCGGGAAGATAAATGTTACTTTGGGAATTGTGTTTAATTACAAATAATCTAGGAGCTGCTCTGGGTCCGATGGTTTAACCACACATGTGTTCAAATCATTGTACAAGCTTTACAAACGGGTGACAAGATACAGTAAACGTTTGAAAAATCGGTGCGCACGACAGGACGTTCCCATTAGATAGGCTGCCTGAAGCTGGGTCATGCCCCAAAATACATGCTACTTATATATGAACATACAAATATATATATATATATATAAGTATAGATGCGCGCGTGTCTATATGTGCGCGCATATAAATGTGTGGGTGCGATAGACACTTGCATATACAAATCCTACAGCACCTAAGATCATAGCATGCAGAGAACATAGAGGAAAATGAAAGCTTTCCACTCGTGTGTCTACGTATTTCTTTCTTTCTTCTGCCAACCGCACAAAAGTGTCAACGTGGAAAAAAAAAAAAAAAAAAAAAAAGAAAAAAAGAAAAAAAAAACCC